TGTGTTCATAGGTGTTGCAGCTGGGTAAGACTGTTCCATTGCATTCCTCCCTTGGCAGCTGGCATGATATTTTCTGGAAGAGTGGAAGCTAAATTGCAGGAAAGATTTCTTAAAAAAAATTTTTTTTATACTTATAAGGAGAGTATGCCTTCTGTTTGTTTGTTTCAGTTATTTCTTCCTAAGGTTTCTCTGAAGTAGCATTGGATATTTTCCTAAACGAATATGGTTTCTTTCTAAAGAGAAATGTGCAATATCATTTGTTAAAGTATTTTTCCCCCAATCTGTTATATTGGCTTCTCCTGTCCTTGGAACCTTATGGATATAGTTAAAGCATTACATGCTGATATGGTTTTCCTGTAAATTATTTTTCAATAGAATTTAATTGGCTTTTAGTGGCTTCCTGGAGATCTGAAGATGTGAGCTTACTAAATCTGAATAATATTAACATTTTAGGTAAGAGTTTATCTGCTGAGCAGAAAGTTTAATATGAATTGAGCTGATATTAAAATTAATTTCAGCAATTCTTTTTTTAAGATTTCATAAGGAGTAGAGTGATTTAATGATTTTTTAAAAAAATCCTCTCTTAGGGCATGGTGGTGCATACCTTTAATCCCAGGACTCAGGAGGGAGAGCCAGGTACATCTCTTGAGTTTGAGGCCAGTTTGGTTTACATAAGTTATGACCTTGAGCAGATTACCTGGAGACAAATTGTCAATTATTGACAATGTTTTGTAAAACATGAAGACAATAATTATGTGCAACTATTGTATTTGTCTTCCTTGGGCTCAGCATAGTGTCTGATAGATTGTTGGCATTCAGTGATGAGTAATTGAAGGAATTAAACACATATCGCTTAAATAATTTTGAGACATTGATATATAATGAGGAAATTTTTAATTGTCTTAAAAATTTTAATTGCTGACCCTGAATATAAGCCAGAATTAATCATTTTTGTGTGACATGAATTGTGTCTTGAAAGTGGGGTGTGGGAGTGAAGAGGGAGAGAAATGGGAAAGTACACAGGAGATAGTTTACTCTTCTCTTTACCTTAGAGAGGAAAGCACAGATGTCCCAAGTCTTTCATATCCATTCTGCTTTTCAAACTGCATATTATACTTTTTTTTTTTTTTTTTTTGCTACCTATTAGTTAGCTGGGGAAGATGAGAGTGATTTCCACTTATCTTGAGGAAGAAATAGGTTACTAGACAAGAAAATATGTGAGGAATGTAAGTGTATAGGACAGTGTTGTCCAAGCATTAACACGTGTGTGTGTGTGTGTGTGTGTGTGTGTGTGTGTGTGTGTGTGTGTGTAAGTATAAGAAAGGAAGGGAAGGGGGCGCTGGGAGGGAAGGAGAGAGGGAAAGAGAGAGTATGTATATTTGTCTTGAGGATAAAAGCAGATAAATTGAGAATGAAATGGTAGGTAAGACAGCAAGACTTTAGGCAGCAAGACTTACATGGCACAGCACAGAGTTTGATCTTATTCTAAATGTAGTGGCAGCGTAAGCAGAGCAGATGAGACCTGGTATGTGGGTAACTAGTGATGGGGAGTATTTGAGTGGGAGCAGGAGAGGAGCAGAACTCTGGCTCAAACAGTGGTTCACTTCTGAATGAACGTGACATTTTGTTTGTGCCCCCAAGTAAACAGATTTTTAAAAAGCTTCAGATGAGTTAATGTATCTTGGAATCATCTTATTGCTATCTTGTAAACCATTTATTAGGCTTGTTGTTTTGATTGTGCATTAGGGCTATACAATTGAAATAATAGACAAGATAAAATCTAAAAAAATGATAAAAGCTGGGCATGATAGCGCACATCTGTAAAGTACTCAGGAGGCAGAGGCAGAAGACCTGCTGCAACTTCGAAGCCATGTAGGTCTGTATAGTGGGTTGTGGGCTATCCAGTACTATATATTGAGACCAAGTCGCAAAAAAGCAAAGCAAAGCAAGAAAAAACAAAAACAAAAACACCCACCCACCTAACTGTTAGGGTCCAGAGAAAGCCGCGCAAACCACTCAGACACCAATCTCGGTCAAATATGGACGGTTAATTGAGCACACCCCTCTTTCCCCAAGACTGACCATGGTCAGGTGGTCAGGAACACTGTGGACTCGAGAGCTGAACTGTGACATTGCGTGTTTCTTGGACTTAGCTTATAAAGGCAAAAGCCACAATTAGCTCACATTGGTGCTGGGGCAGGGTTGGGGCGGGGGGGAGTGGAACAGGATAGTCACCCATGACTTAAGTTAGTTTTGCTAACTAGACAAAGCAGTTCTAGCTGGTTCCAAGTGGAGTTTACTGTTCGGGCCAGCTGTTAGGGCCAGGAGAATTTCTAGGAGTAGCAAGGCCACAGAGTATGCTAGACATAAACATCCTAACATCATAGTGTCTCTATATCAGCAACAAGCTGAGATGATGTGGCTGGTAGGCCTGAAATAGAAATGGCTATAGTTCTGAGACCCAAAGGAGCAGACCTCAGCACCAACTACTTAGCTAACCGACTGAAACCTACATACACACAAACAAAAACCAAAATCCAAACCAAAAATCCCAGACCAAACCAGCAAACAAAAAATCCAACCAACTATACAACAAAACAAAACAAAAAGTAAAAAGAAAGGTACACATTTTTATTTTTATCTCAATTAAATTTTATTTACCTTTTTTATTTGGAGTTAAGATTTTTTAAAAACTCACGTGTATATTGTGTTTATGAAAAAAATTTCTAGGTACTAAGAATTATGATAAAATGGAATTTTATTTTAAGAAAGTTTCTGAGGAAATTTTTGATTTTTTTGCGAGTGAACTTCTGATTATTTAAACTTAGGATGGTCATATTTCCTTCGTTCTGGCTACCATAAAAATGATGTAAGTATCACTGTTATACTTAGGGCAAAAAATAAAAGAGAAAGAAAATAAAGAGACTATATGGAGTTGTAGTAGATGAGTGAAAGGGGAAGGGAGAGATGACAGGAGGACAAGAAGCACAGAATGACAAATAGAAAAGGAAATTTCATGCCACTGAAGTTGTATAATTAATACAAAAGCCCTTCCAAAAACAATATAAAAACTGTACTTAAAAAAACTACTAAATATTTTAACCAAGGAAAGTTTAACATGGGGAATTAATTAACATAAGTATTACCTGTATATTTTCTGAAAAGACCAACAACTGCAGGGAGAGGAAGAAAGGAAGTAGCTGTTACCTGGGGAGCAGCAGTTCTGTGTATTCAGAAAGCCTGTTGCCATGTGCATGACACTAGACTCAACCTCAGAAGATGCTGGGCCTGTATTTACTCTTTGCTACCTCTGCCAGAAATATACTGCAGTCCCAGTAGCCACTTCTCTGGAGACATTTTTAGCTGTCATACCTGGGGCAGATGAGCTAGTTGAAGTGGTATTAGAGTCTGAAGATGCTTCAACACATGGACAGTTCCACAGCAAAGAAGACCAGCTGACAGTGTCAGTAGATCTGAGGCTGAGAGACACGAACCTGTATCTGCCTGTTAAATCAAGCACATTAGCTTTTGTTCAGTAGGGTAAGTGTTCATGTTGAAGTAAGATGCACTCCCTGAAAACTGGAGAAGTAGGACAGAAAATTTTGAGCTCCTCTCCAGTTCTCTTCTCCCCCAGTGATGGTCCACATGACTGCTGTTCCTGTCACAGTCAGGAACTTGGTTGTGGGATCATCTACGGGGCTTGTCCAGGTATATCACATACTATAGTCTACTGCCGCTCCTGCCACTGGAGCTGTAGCCCACAAGCAGTAGTCTTCTCCCGAGTTTCCTGAATATTGTCATTGTCCCTGCAGGAACCGTGGTCAGAAAGAAAATGAAATTGTCACCTTTCTCCTCATCCAGTTTTCATCAGTGCTTCCCAGGAGCAGGGTGTAATTAGGCACAAGGTGCCAACGGAGTGTTTTGGAACTGTAGTTGACAGGTTTCTAGCCTTTGCAAAAGGGCATGAGAAGGCAAGAATAGAGTTGAGAACCAACAAAAGGCACACAGGAAGCAGTTACAAAATAGGATTCTTCGATCAAATAGGAGAAAATAAACTTAAAAATATTGCTAAGTTTTCAGAATGTCAAGATGACCTTTTTTTTTTTTTTTGATTTCTTGAAAGGAACTGATAAAGATACATGGACTAGTAGGGAAACTTTGAAAATGAGATAATTCTCCACTGAAATATCAGAGTATTTAGTTACAAGAAATGGAAATTGACCTTGTAACCAAGCTTGCAGTTGCAGCACAAGAGTACTGCCAGGAGTTTTAGGCTAGCTGAGGCTACTAACTGAGACGCCATCTCAAAATAACACAAACAAACAAACAAACAAACAAAAGGACTTTCTTTAACTTAAGTAGAAAGTATATTTGTTAGAAGTTCATTAGCTATCAGAAAAGTTGGATAGCTATGCCCTGGAAAAGACAAATTAAAGGGTTAGCTCTGAGTAGCTAGTTTATGAAAATTAATAGATGGCCTCTTCAGTGTGTACTGACCAGCTCCAGCGTTTGTTGCTTTAGATTCATATTATCAGAGGATAGATCATCTGGTCTAGTTTGGGTTAGTTGCTCGTTCTTGGACAGAGAAAGTCTAGACACCTGCAGAGACAAGTTCAGTGCTAGTGTACTTAATAACTAGAGGCCAAATAGACTACTCTATTAATAATCAAGGACCAGCATTGCAAAGAAAAAAGAATTGAAATATAAAAGAAAGACTACTAGGTAAGCAAAAACCACAATTTTTTTTTTTTAAATTCAAGGTTGTTTTAGATTAGCAGTAGGCAGCTTAAAATCATAGCCCAGAGTGCTTGTGCACTTGATATGTAATTGAAACGTGATCTGTCTTAATAGTACCCTTGAGGAAGTTGTCATTATTATCCTCATTTTACAGATGAGAAAATTTGAGAGGTGCACTTCTGATGATGGTGGATTAGGCAATTTGGACTAACCCCTCTACTGAGAGCAACTAGAAAAACTGGATCAAATGTAAAATTCACCTGTTTGAGAGTATCAGAGAGCTAACACAGCAGTGACGGCTATGGGGACAAGATCCTGGACAAGAAGGAAACCCAAAAGGTGAGCTGGGAATTTAGGCCTATTTCCCCCACAGGAATGTGTTTCCAGTAAAGATGGCTAAGAGCCTGAGAATTTTAAGAAAAGCGTTTGGCATACTAATGCAGTTGGGCAGAATTAAAATATATATAATGTTTTACAAATCAAGCATATAGGAGACAAGATCATAAAACTGAAATTAAGAAACAATAAAACACAGGATACTGGCATTGGAAAATATGTCTAATAAAATACAGAAATATGAGGAAAGAAAATTAGAATAAGAGACAGTACACACAACTGGAACTTCAGAAGGACAGGAGAAAGCATGAGGCAAGCATGTTTTTTTTGCCATTTATTTATTTATTCATTTATTTATTTATTTATTTATTTATTTATTTATTTATTTATTTATTTATTTATTTATTTATTTTGAGACAGGATTTTTCTGTAGCCTTGGCTGTCTTGGACTCACTTTGTAGAACAGGCTGGTGTTGAACTCACAAAAAAATCTGCCTGTCTCTGCCTCCCCAAGTGCTGGGATTACAGGTGTGTACCACTGTGCTGGCGACAAACACATTTTTTAAAAAAATATTTATTTATTTATTTATATGTATACAGTGTTCTGTCTGGATGTCTAAATGCAGGCCAGAAGAGGGCACCAGATCTTATTACAGATGGTTGTGAACCACCCTGTAGTTGCTGGGAATTGAACTAAGGACCTTTGGAAGAGAAGACAGTACTCTTAACCTCTAAGCTATCTCTCCAGCCCAGACAAACACATTTTTAAGAGATAATGGCTGAGATTTTTTTTCCTCCCAAACTGATGAACACCAAGTCTTTGATTTGCCAGGTTTTACAAACTCCAGAAAGCTAAGCATAAGGAATACCTTAAGTAAGCTTTTCAAAAGCCACACGTACTCACAAATTTTAAAATTATCCAGAGCAAAAAACAAACAAACAAACAAAACCAAAAAACCAACTTTAAAAATATTCCTCATAAACTCTATGCCCGATTCTCAAATAAAAATGGGAGGTATAAGACTGCCCCAACAACTAGGCTGCAGTGATCTGCGTGATGTTGCCTAGCAGTGCAGTCTGTGCCACTGGACCCAGCTTGAAGAAAAACAAAAATAACTGAATTTGGTGTTCTGTAAAAATATTCCCCAGAAATGAAGGCTGATTAAAGGACATTTATGAAATAAAATGGCTGAAATATGTCACCAGCTTCCCACCCTTAAGGAAATACTATGGAAAAATGATCTTAGATAGAAGGCTAGGGATAAATGAAAAAGTTGAAAATGTATAAACTTAAATTGGCTATATAAGCAAGTAGGATGATGGGGTAAATATATGTCAGCACGTCCTTGTATAATAAGACAGGTAAAAGACTTAAACGGTTGTGTTGTTAGGAAGTTAACATATATGCTAGCTTGGTAAACCAATACAGATAAAAATTGGTGAGTTTATTAAAAATGATACTAGCAGGATGTATAATGTTCAAACTAATGCATTGGTAAACTAGAAAAGTACAATGAATTAAAAGATAAGAACAGAGACAAAATAAGCATGGGGTAGCAGAGAAGAGGTATAACAGTTTTGAACTCAAATTTAATAGTATATTAAATGTAAGTGCATTATCTGGCATGGTGGTGTATGCCTGTAATCTGCCCTTGGGAGGATGAGGGAGAATGAGGGAGGATGAGGGAGAATGAGGGAGAAGGAGGGAGAATGAGGGAGGATGAGGGATTTAACTGTGAGTTCTATGCCAACCTGGGATCTCAAACCAAACAATTAAACAAACAAATGTAAATACATTAATTGTTATAAATTATTGGCAGACAGGATAAAAATCTGCCCAAAATGAGTTTAAAGCCTCTTACAGATACTGAAAATTATGACTATGGAAAGGTTAAAAAGTAAAATGATGTTAAAATAACTTTGGAGGAATTAAAAATTATTTATTTTATAACACCTTAAGGACTTTAATACTAAAACTTGAAACTACTGGAAAGAGAAGTTTCATTGGCAAAATTTTATTCAGAATTATACATATTATTAGGAGGCAGGAATTAGTAGAAAAATAACAAGAAATGAAAAGTATATTTACCAGGAATGTAAAGTTAGTTAAAATTTTTGGTAACATGTGTAATTGACAACAGTAACAGAATAAAGGAGAAGAAAACTATGGTAACATTATTACATGCAGGAAATGGACTAGGTAAATCTATTGTATCCACTTGGTTAAAGAAAACTAGTAAAGTAGGTAGTGACAGAAACATAGTTGAATACAAAGTAATACAAAAATATAGTGCCGGTGCTCTTACTGAGCGTTCACCAGTCCAGAAAGGTCAGACGAGATCATTGGGGAAAATAACGCAGGTTTTAAAGGTGTTGATGCACAGTGAATTAAAAAGGACAGGTGCACTTTTAAAGTTGAGATTTTTACTGAGGCTTCATGAAATAGTTCTGTTTTAAAGACAACACTCGAGAGGCTGTAGAGATGGCCCCAAGGTTAAGAGCACTTGTTGTTCTTCTAGAAGGAAGATTTAACTTCAGTTCCTCACACCCACATTAGGTAGCTTGACTGTAACTCCAACTCCAGGGGATCTGTTCTCTGTGACCTCCATGGGCACCTACACACGAGTCCACCCAAATGCAGATAAACACAGCCCTGGACATCATTTAAAGTAATAAAATAACCTGGCGCTTTCTCAGAAAATTAGGAATCGTGTTACCTCAAAATCCAGCTATACCACTCCTAGGCATATCCCCAAAAGATGCCCCAGTAGTCAATAAGGACATTTGCTCAACTATGTTCATAGCAGCTTTATTTGTAATAGCCAGAATATGGAAACAACCTAGATGTCCCTCAACTGAGGAATGGAGACAGAAATTGTGGTACATTTACACAACGGAATACTGCTCAACAATTAAAAACAAGGAAATCATGAAATTTGCAGGCAAATGGTGGGAACTATAGTGAGGTAACCCAGAAGCAGAAAGACACATATGGTTTATACTCACTTATAAGTGGATATTAGCCATTTAATATAGGATAAACATCCTAAAGAAGCTAAACAACAGGGAGGACCCTAGGGAGGAGGCTGAAACCTAACTCAGAAGGGCAAACAGGATCAGAAAGTATCAGAAGTAGAAGACAGGGAACAGGACAGGAGCCTTCACAGAAGGCTTCTGAAAGACTCTACCCAGCAGTGTATCAAAGCAGATGCTGAGACTTGTAGCCAAACTTTGGGCAGAGTGCAGGGAATCCTATAGAAGAAGAGGGAAATAGAAAGACCTAGGGGGACAGGAACTCCACAAGGAGATCAACAGAGCCAAAACCTGGGCCCAGGGACCCCTGCAGAGACTGATACTCCAACCAAGGCCCATACATGGAGAGGACCTAACCTGCCCTGCTCAGATGAAGCCTATAGGCTGCTCAGTTTCCAAGTGGGTTCCCTAGTAAGCAGGGCAGGGGCTGTCTCTGACATGGACTCAGTGGCTGCTCCTCCACCTGGGGAGAGCAGCCTTGCCAGGCCACAGAGGAGGAAAATGCAGCCAGCCTTGATGAGACCTGATAGGCAAGGGTCAGAGGGAAGGGGAGGAGGGCTTCCTCTATCAGTGGATTAAGGGAGGGGCATGGGAGGAGAAGAGGGAGGGTGAGTGTTAGTAGGAGACTAGGGAGGGGACTGTGGCAGGAATACAAAATGAATAAATTATAATAAATAAAGTCATCTTAAAAATTCCCAAGTTACACCTGAAAATAATGAGTTTAAAATGTGATTTACATCAAATGAGTGGAGAGAAATCTAAGAAAAGGTTTATAAGCCTTCAAACACCCAAGTTATATAATTTAGAAAAATTAGAGAATAATAATGTTGGTAGATTGGAGTCTTCATGCTATTAAAATGCAAATTTTATCCAAATTCAGTTTTAATTTGATGAAAAGTTTAGCAGAAGTTTAATAAATGTAAACAAAAATGTCTACATTAAATGGCATACTGATTCTAAAATTTATATGGAGATTCAAAGGCCCAAGAATATTCAGACATTCTTTTAGAGGAATGGAGAAAAAAAGTTGACGGTAAAGGAAGTGATGGATAAATTATATTACTCTGGAAATAATTTTTCAAAAATAAAAACACCATTTAGAGATGTTTGATTACAGGCTTGCTGATATAATCCCAGTATGTGAGAGGCTGAGGTGAGACGATTGCTTGAGACCAGGAGCTTGAGACCAGAATGAACAACAAAGCAGTACTCTATTTGTCTCAAAATAAATGAACACCAAGATACTTTTAGAAATATACAAAGTAAGTTTGAGAACAGAGATAGATATAATAAGCACTATTTTCTTTAATAACTCTTTTAAAAAACTGTTTATCACCATTGTTCAAGTAGGCTCTTTAAAAACTCCTTTTTGCCTGTAAAGGATTTGATTTATCTGATTTATGAAGCAAACCAAAGGGACAATGTTCTCTGTCTTCTCTTCACTCCTCTCTGCCACATCATCTGTATCTCGTTTTCTGAAAACTTGTACTGCTTGAGATGTTTGCCCTCCTTAACTTATCACATAGTTTGAAAGCATTGTTGTTAGGTAGAGAAATGAATAAGTGAGTGCTATTTAGCATGGTATGCTACTATTGGTGGCAATCTATAGAAGCATGGTTATTCTAGTGAGGAAATCCTTTGATGTTTCTGGTTAGGCAAACTCGGTTTAGTGTAAGAGGGTATGGAGTTTGAAGTCTGCATTGACTGCATGATGAGAGTAGAAGTTATTGTGTCATTTCCCCTTTCCCTCATTTAGTTCTGTACGCACTTGTCTAAGTTTCATACCAGGATAGATTTTCTCTATGACCCTTTCTTACTTTTAATATGTTATTATTCTATTATTTAGAGAAATACTGGCTTTTAACTCACCTTTTGCATATGGTATCAGTGTTTTCATATTCTGCATGATGAATGAATTTTAGAACACTGAGAAGAGTTTCAACAGTGCATTTTCCAATAACATTATTATA